ATGTACCTATGTATGCTTCGATCAACAATAGCAACTAGATAAAGGGTTACGTACAAAATCAAGCTCCAGTTCTGTCCGTGTGAATAATAATAGTAAAAAAATAACAAACAGAGAAAAATGTTTTAAAATTGTTTTAAGTTCAACCTAATAACAACCATGGCACCTAATAATAAAGTCATAAATCGTCAAAATATTATCTAATACTTACGACCATTCGTCACATAAGACGAGAAAATCATTTTCTTACTCCTGTCATGTAGAAATTAAAAGACATAAGTTATACAATATCCAGTTTGAATTCAACCTTAAACTAGAACAAATAAAGATAATTTTTCCGTTATTGCCTTGTGATCTATATCGTTTTGTTTTGTTTCGTTTTGCTTCTTCGAATTTTGAATTTCGCTATAGGAGGTATGTATGGAGTCGCGTTGAACACTAAAATAATTTTATAATATAAAAAATTCGATTTCGGGATCTTAGTATATATCACTTATTTTTATTCGGGGTACGTTTTTGGGTATCATATGTTTATTTACTTTATCATTAAAAGTCTAAGTCAAAATCATTTATTTCAGTTCAACCAGGAAGGCACTTTTGAACGTCAACAATATAAATTCAATTCAAAAAAGTGAAGCTATTTGCTCATTCCAAGGTGTAGATTCCTATGGAAAAGAACGAGTAAGAAACTCCATAGGTTAGGTACTGTTTTCCAATCAGGTTACAATACAAATTTGTTTTACAATACAAATCGACTCCATGCATCCACTGTTCTGTTTAAACAAATGTTTGTGCGCGTGTTGGCCAAGGGATCGCCAACACACGCACAAACATTGGTGGCGTTGGTTTATAATTGGTAATTTTGTCTAATTTGATATTATTTACTAGTTTAAAAGCTTAAAATATAACTTATACTTTATGTACTTATCGAAAGTAAGACACTCCGGCCGTTATACTGCTTTTTCGGTTATTATTTTTGCAACTTGCAATTACACACTGCAGCATCGCGAGACGTGATTACGTTGGCCATGTTTGGAGCATACTAAACAAAATAAGAGCTCACTTCTCAAGTGAGCTCTTATTTGTCGAGACGATTTTCTTGCGCCGACCCGATATCTAGTTGTTATTGTTGATCGAAGTATGTATGTATTGTAAGTGCGCGATTATCTCGTGATTGGATGAACCGATTTGGATGTGGTTTTCAGGAAGGTATTTGTTTCACTTAGGGGTTAGTATATTAATTAACCGACTTAAAAAAGAGGGGGTTGAATTCGGTTTTTTAAACGTAGTTTATGAAAGATTATTAAAGACTTCAATAAAAAGGAAGTCTTGAACTGTTTGTGCAATAAGGTATGTTTACTGTAGTAACAATACAGTTTTTGTAGCAATGAAACGGGGTCTAGAATTTAATTGGCGAAATAAAATTTGAACAATACGCGGTACAGTAAATTACACGTTATGTATTAGGTACTTTATTTCTGTCGATTTAACAGAAAGTTTGACTGGAAAATATAACAGTAGTAATATTGTAGAATAATTTCAATAATATAGAAATGGCTGGAAGACTATTATCACAACTACTACCTTGCTCCGAATTTGTGGCACAATGATGGTTTGTGGAACTTCACAGGTTTCTCCGCGAACTGAGCATCATCAGTGTTACTTATATATTAATCGTATGACCTCATGAACTAACTTAGTCATCCAAAGTTAGCCAAGGCGCAGTCTTTGTTAAACTGGAAACCTTAACGCGAAGTCGTCATGATAGTAATATTTTGAACCACAAAACTGTCACTGTAGGATGGTTTACCTAATTGTTTTGGAAGTTTCGTGGGCTGTTCCAACCTAAAAGCTTTCTTAGGACACCAATTGAGTCCTACAAGGCATTATTTCTTAAATTTCGTACTAGTGAAACCTAGAAAACACGTTTGTCAGAAAACGTGACATGATGAAAACCATCAAATCGATTCTAATCACTACCTTCTATCAATACCGTGAGTCCAATATTAGGTTAGTAATACAATAATACTGGTACAACCAGACATTAACTAATTTGCGTACGTGTATTCGCAAATTGAAACCCGCCTGTTCTAACTAATGATGGCGTCGACTAACTAACCGGCACTTAGATTAGTTAGATAGCAGGACTATCGCCACTTATCTTCTCTTCATATCTCGAACATGTATTCATCTTGTTTACATGTGAAAGTAGAAATACACGACCCAATTAAAGCCATTGCGATCTAACATCGAAATAGAACCAATCAATCATGAAGCCTCAAGTTGAAATTCACTTTTTTAATTGGTTCATTCAACTAAAAAGTTTTTAGTCCTAAAACTTTGATGGATCTGGTTGGTTGATTTATTTATTTAATATGTGACCTCTGCTGCAAATACACTTGTATGGTCGTTGTTAAGACTAGAATTAGCAATATGTAAATGTGGTGAAACAATGAACGAACTACGAGTGTATTTGTCTTGGTATCTATTCACTATTGTCGACTAAATGTTTCGTCTTCCATAGATGAGCGTTTCCTGGTCGTGTGCTTATTCAATTTCTAAAATTAGATTATGTTCCGCATCTGTCTAAGTCCATATTCGAATGCTGATATTGGATCCAATATTGGGTGTCGTTTTATTTTTATATCACACTGAAAACAGAACTGTCTTCAACATATTTCTCTTTAAATTCCTTATTTCATAGTGATTTAAATACCTTTTTGTGATTGTATTTCGTAAATAAATAAGATATTAAAACGCAAATACTCTTGCGGCAAGGACAGATAACAGAATTGTCGCATTTTCTAGAATCTTGTAGTAAATCAGACAGACTTGAATGATTTCAATAAGTCCTTAACTAGTCCACCCTTGAATACAATTAGTTAGTATTTGTTGATAGTAATATCTGCGTAGGAGGAAAGGTACTTTATAGTCTCCACTTGTTTTCATGAATTTAAAACTAGTACACACTGGTAACTATCTAACCGTATTTTATATGTTCTAACTCTGCATATTTTTATGGTTCCATTCCAAATAAGGTTTTGACAGGGTATTAGGACAGGGCATTATAATCAACTTAAAATTTTAAGAGAACTCCAGAAAGAATAAAAACTGAAACTTTTCCTAGTAAAAATAAGAATTAGGAAGTAAAATTTTGCAAGTACGGAAAATTGGCGATGAGGGAACAAAGCTGAGCAGCGTGCAAGGTTGATTTTTACACCCCCGTCCAGAACACGGCGGTCCTGCCCCAGTGACCCAGTGACACGGCGCTTATTGCCCAAAGCAAAAAGTTCACTTTGTACGCCTGAACAAATACACACGTATGTAAATGTTACACATGAACGACCCGCCACAAACGTCACGCTGCGCAAACACTGATAAATGATTATTTATTAACGTTTTTTTTAACAATATAAAAAACGGATGCCCCATTTTTAATCCTTTCCGCTTTTGATCACTCTCTGAAATGAGCAATACATTGAAAAATAAATCGTTTGGAGGCATATCTACAGTACATATGTTGTTTGTAATAACGGTTTTCTTTGGCTACAGCAAAATTGCTATATTGCTTTATTGGCAATGTCTGTCGTTGTAACGTGTTAGTAATGTATCGACAGGACTGACATGTTGCACATTTTATTTGTGTGCATGCATACAAGAGAATCAATTTCAGATGGGGCGTTAAATAAATCCCCGCTTCGCACGCTGTCTCGCATTCAGATTGCATTCAGCTGCAGCTCCCTCGTAACTTATGTCCCGCTCCACATTGCAACGCAAACAAAATACCAGTTCCGTTCTATTTCTCTATGTTGGAAACTAGTTTCCACTTTTCTTACACGGATTTAATCCCTATATCAAGTTGTTCTTGTCGCTTCACACTGCATCTTCTCGAAATAGAGGCCTAACGAGAACGTATAGGCTATTTATTTGCGCCGAGCTTCCTACGTGCCCGATGCGCTGGCCACGTAACAACTTCCATATCCAGTGCTGGACACCTTGTACATAATGAATGTAGTATACATACAACACACCACACAAAGGCGGAATATAAATAACTGACCGTTGTTGGAGACCGACGTATTGTTCTAGGATACATACGCTGTATCTTGATAGGATGTCGACATAAATAGTTAATACAACAAATTTAATCGATAGATAGATATCGATAGTTGATAAAGCTTTTGGAAAAGTTGAAAAGTTGCCGAGTTCGTGAATTCCAGTAAATTCACGCCGTTAAAAGTAACTTAACTATACTTGTTATAATAAGTCCATCTTGTCTTAAACTTAAATCTCACAAAGAAGGCGCCCCAAAGTTTATAATTAATGTCAGGGAAAAATTGTTTAGGAGAAAATCGGCAGCTTCGCAAACGGCGTTTAATCAAAGTGTAATAGTTGAGCAATCGCGTGAAATGGTGTGCTCTGTCTTAGGAGCTTCCGACTGGCGAGAACTGGACGCCAACAAACTTAGTTTTATGTGTCCATCACGTCACATTGGACTGCAAACTAAATGAGCTTACATAAAACTAGCAAAGTAGCTATTTGGTCTGACTTAGCACTTTGAAAAAGTCGACAATTTGATGCAGTCCACGACACAACAAAATGATACAACTTATAAAAGCTTAAGATTTCGTACAGAATTTCTTATGGAGATCCCTGCCATCATAGGTTATTATAAGTATTTTAACTTTTCAAAATAGTCTCTAAAGTTGGAAATCTGGTTGCAAGTTTTGTAGCAATATAATAGAGCTCGAAAATAATCGAATAAAAATCACGATGCCGTTCATATTCAAGTCTAAATGTAATCCTTGTAAATAAATTGCATTTTTCCCAACAATTAGGTTTAAGCTATTAATAAAAGTACGTAGTCTGCGGCCATCCCGTTTGTCTTATTTCTTAGTACTCGTTATATCTACTTTATCTTTGTTTGCTCTTTATTCTTGCTTAGGGATAAAAGCTTTTATACTTCCTTGGTACGTCTGTCTTATTACCTTTTTTTGTTACAGCTTCTCGTCGACGTCTTAGTGAGTATATCGAGCACTACGAGGGTCTAGACTACGACCCAGACAAGTTGCACCAGCAACACTTGCGGGCTCGTCGCTCGATAGACCCACCAGCAGATTTAAGTCTAAAATTTGACGCACATGGAAGGAAGTTCCACCTACGATTGCGGCGAGACTTGGCCGCATTTAGCGAAGATTTTAAAGTAAGTAACCACGCCGTTTTCGAGATGCATAATGTATACTTATTTCTCTTAGTCTATGCAAGTTGTTCACTATGTAATATGTATTCGTTTTTGTCAGGTTGAAGGCTCACAAGGGCAGTTACATGACGTCGACACCTCACACATTTATCACGGGGAATTGGCTGGTAAGTGTTTAGTGGTTTCTATTTGATACATTAGTCTTTTAAGGGCCGATTTTTCAATCATCAGTTAACTGTAGAAATAAAATTGACATTTGACAGTTTTTAGTATGGAAGTATAGTTATTTATTTATTCAAAGTTATTCGTCAGTTAAAATTTATCTGGCGTTGGAAAATCACCCCTTAATGGCACTAGAAAGTGACTATCAACAAATTAAAATGTTACAAACTATTACTGAGATGTAAGAGTGAAACACATGTTTAAATCCGATCCCATTATAAAAATAAAAACAAGCAATGTTTGTTAAACCGACATTGAACGACTTAATCACCGCTTAAATAGGAAGTCAGGTGAAGTGGAGAGGTTTAGCAGTTTAGTGCGGAGCGAGCACTCACGTACTGAAAAGACAGACACAAAGTTTGTAGGTGGCGTGCGACGGACTGACAGCCGCAACTCGGGACCCACTCCCATTGTACACCGGGAGCCGAGAACGCCGACGTTATCTACACCCAAGATAGACGCTATTGTTTGCCCTCACCCCGAGGGAAAATTTAATAAGTCCCCGCTCGGAGTATGTCGACCGCGATTGTGTTTCTCTTTAATCAAACAAAAGCCGAACGCTAAGTCTCAGTTCGCATCTGCCCACGCTCGCACCGGCTCCCACATCGCGAGCTGGATGCTTCTCTCGTTCCCGACATTAATAATTCTTGGAGAGCACTAAAACATATTTCTTTTTGCAATTACTGGCGGGACGGCGTCAAAGTCCTGGCTAATTGGGAGCTTTCGGCGGCCACTCGACTTTTAATGTTAGCGGGCGGAGGCCGCGCCGATGGTTGGTCGCTCTACAGGCTTAACAACGCTATGTAAATAATTAGACTGTTGAAAATTTGGCCTCGCATTCCTGTTTCGCCAAATATGCTAAAGAAAATTTCAAAAGAAATTCATAACATTTTCTGTACTTAGACAAAGTATTTGCTCAAGTTATATGACTTAAACAGTACTGAAACCGGAGATTCAATTACTTGAACAACCATGTAGTAAATAGTCAACTAAGATAGAATGTACAGATGAAATTTTAGTTTATACACAGCTATCGGTAGGTGATTGGGAAGTAACAAATCGTTGAATGAAAAAGTGTGATCATTATGCGTATCGACGTGGATGCGATGCGGGTGCGACTTGGAGTTCTGGTACGGGTGTTATGATGGTGAAAGTTTGGAACAGTGTAAATGGATAAAGTTGTGCGGAGGGCGGCCCGGCATCGATCGCAGTTCGTCGCCCTACTTACAGCGGTCTCCGATGCACTTAGTCGTCGAGTTGCAACCTACGTTTTGCATGCACTTGCACAACCCACCGTCCCCCACATATTTATCAGCTACTGTAACCACGATTTGAGTTTTTATTGTCGAAGCGATGACTCTAACTGTAGTTTCAACTCAGAAGTCTCAAATCTTTACGAAACAACACAATAAAACAATCTTTCCTGAATAATGTGAAATCTTTTAGTAGAAGAAGCGTAACTCTATAAATTCTCCGTCTATTTAGGTCGTTCATTGAAACTCGTCAAGAGGAATGAACAACATTGTGTAAACAAAGAATTTTATACGAGAAATATTTCTAGGAAATGTTCACTTTCGTTAAGCACAACAATAGATCCGTATCTGTGTTGTGTTGTGGAATGTGAATAGTCACTTGGCTTGGTTAATATAAAATTTACTGAATGATAAAACATAACCGGCACCAGTGCTCTTGACTTCAGAAAAAATACGAGCTAGTTTTTCTACCGTCGCACTTGAATTTCACTGAAAAACATTTTCGGAGCCCTGCGGTTGGTGCGGATAACATTTCACGTTTCCTTCGCAGTTACCGGGTATATATTTAATGCTATGTGCACATCAGTATGTGTTTATACTTCATAGTTAGATAGGGATCTGTTATCCTTATGGAAATAGGACATACAGCTATAATTACTGTTTATTCTTGGAAAAAACATTGAACTTTCCTCATTTATTTGCGCTGGTATTTCAATTTTATAAGTTTGTCTTTCCTTGAACAACAGTAAATTGTTGTCAATTCAATAGCTTATTGTCTAGCCCGAATTGGTTCCCACAGTTGATAGCATGAACCATACCAACTAGAACGTGCGACAAAAACTTAATTTAAAACTTATATCATGGTAACAAAACATGATAAATGAGGTCTTTAGAAATAGACCACCCTGTTAAAAGTTATTAAATTCTGTAGGTAGAATAGATTCAATGAAATAATATACCCGCTGTATGTAAGTACACAATTGATGACAATATGTCAACGCTCGATACATTATACGACTGCGTAGCATTGACATTGACAGTAATAACACCCAGGGAGGCTCTATTAAGTAATCTGTATTAGTTTCATTCAATAACAAAGAATCATTACGTTATTGTAGCGTATAATACAATCTTATCTCTGGGCTCGGTATTATGTACAATAATGATAATTATGAACCTATTTATACTTGTAAAAGGCTTTATGCCCTTGGGTGATCGAGTGTCGGATAACATCTTACTAAAAAAAATATATAATCTAATAACAAGGGACAAAATTGTTGGAATAAGATAAAATAGCTACTACGCTATAAATATAAATGTTAACGATAATTATCGTTCAAAACATGTTAATTTTATTCATAAACAATTTATACAGTTATTTATCGAAGCTTATAACAAAACTTTTCTTTAATTTTCAAAGTCACTTTCAAACTAAGCGTACATTGGTCTCGTTACTTAAAGGTATAGTTTAGTAATCCACAAGCGAGTCACGTTCGACCAGTATCCAATAATGTCCATATTTCGAATACTTGTCTTAACGATACCCCTTATTATCGGGCTCGGTCACCCGAAGCTCACAATTTGTTCTTACGATAACGACGGAGTCTCCACTTCACAATTGCTAAGTGTCGTGTCACAAGTACGTTAGTTTTCAAAGGTATATTCACAATGATATGGTGTTATGAGTCATACCCGACTAATGGGGGCCGGAGGTGTATTGTACGTAAATTAAACGTTGCAATTACGTTTGCTAAGGCGAACCATTTGTTTTGTGTCCCCTACTCACTGAGACATGCAGGTGTTACTGGTATGAGTCGCGCGATCGAATTGATTATGCGCTTAACTAACGCCGGTGTGGTGAATATGCGCTTTGTTATAAAGTTATGTTCTCTAGTGGTCGTGTAAATTCCATTTAAAAACGCAAACTGTGTTCCCGATTAATAATTTTGGTTAATACTGACTAATAGTCTGATTTACCGGGTTTTTTAAAGAGCCAAATCATCATTAAAATGTGATTTCATAAAATACGGTCAACTTATCTTCTGTGTTTATTGATGATTAAATAATGAGAAAATAAAGTTTATTTAATAGAAACGGCCTTTCCCAAATACTCGCGGCTATATTAATAAAGTAGCACCCTAATAACAAGTATGTATTTAGATATGGTATGTAGATCGCGGAGAGAACTGCCAGGTGTACGAGCAAGGGGGCTACTGGTTACTGGACGAATATTTAACAATAGTCCATTCCATAGTACCGGTTTCCTAAGACTTACCGCTCAATATCTTGTCTCTACCAATAGTTGGTGTCAATTGTCATGTTAACTATACATTATAATTATCATACCAAGCCTAATCACGAACTAATACGCGTGAAAATGTAGGCTGTAAGAGGTATTAAATGAGAAAACGTGTGCAATAAACTCTCTCTCAGTCTAGTCCTAATAATATTCTAAATATAACCCTAATGTTAGACAACATATACTTATGTTTTAATAGAGGCAATTTCGTTATAACAAACTCATATGAAGGCAAACAGCGTCAAGACTTTAGAAAGCCTTGTAATATACGTAGAAAGTAATGAAATTTTGAGCGGTAAGTAGTGCTCCAAATTTGCTCCTTTTTATATTTTATTAGCTTGTTTAATTTAGACTCATATTTTGTGGTATTATTTTAGGCTACATTCTGCTATGTTGAGAATTTGTTAATTCAGGCGGTAGAATTTGTTTATGTCGGATATTTTGTTTGTAAACACGTTCTGTTTACGGCGGAGACAAAATCTTTATGAAGGTGAGCCATTTTATTCGAATGTGCTTAACGCTGTGTTAACGGAAATCACACGCACTGTAAACAAGTAAGGCCTACAGAACCTGATTATTGAGCTAAGCAAAAAGCTCAAATATAATATAAGTGCATAACAACGTCATAATATTTAAACATGACATAAATAAGACTTATGAGAGCTTGGAACTGGTAATCCCGGCTTACGATTAATTTCCAACCACCGCACGTTACTTTAGAAGGGTGGGACCCAGTCGAATACTGAACTGAGAGATCTTGCATCTTCAATTAAACCTTTATGCAAATATACCGTGAAGTCATTTAATACGGTATCTGGCTTTTCCCACAACTTTTGGCTCCAGGCACACGAAAGCTAATTCCCTTAAAAATGTTGGATCCTTCTATTGGTGCTCTTTTACACTCCTCAAGGACAGCATTCCTTCTAAATGCGAATTGATTTATGCAGTGATTTCGGCTGTTCAGACTGTTCGTTTCTCAGTCACCATCACCAGTACCGCCAATGTTTTCTTTATTTTAATTTAATACATGTTTGTTTTTGTACAGATGATCCAAAGTCATCGGTGTTTGGTTCGGTGACGGATGGTGTCTTCGAGGGGAAGATCATAGCGAGCGATGGCTCGTTCTACGTGGAACATGCGAGGCGGTACTTCCCCCCGAACAGCACGCGGACGAAAGTCCATTCGGTGATCTATCGCGAAGGTGATGTCAGTGACCCATACGCTCATCGGCGACATGGTAAGTAGATCCATAAACATTTAATGAAAAACTAAGTCATAATCATAACATAACAACAGTGATTCCAAATGTACCATTTTGAAGATTTCTGTGATTTACTATGGCATTCAATTTATAAACGAGTGCCAATTTTGTCAACCCCTATCCGATTCCAGCCACAATTCTTTATCTAATGATGATATTCAATTCTTATTTACTAACGCAAGAGAATGCCAAATTACTGAAATACTTTTACTTGGAACTAGGTACGTACTTCGGTGAATAAGATAACCTTGTTAGATAAATTACTGTGATCGGATAAAAGGCTGAAGAAGTTATAAACCTACACAATGCTGAATCTGTGTTATTGTTGCGAGGAAAATCCGATTATCGTATATCCCAGTACCATACGTTATTTTATGAGTCGTATCAAATGAAGTAATCGCGTTTTACAGTTTTAATCCCATTACGCTAGGTACAATTAAGTTTACTTCGCATAGGTGCAATAACAAAATTAACTGTGTAGAAATTTGTAACTACACGTGCAGTTAGTGGAGTCGGGAGTTCGGGAGTGTAGGGAGAGGCGAGTCGCGTGGAAGTTTCGCCACAGTATGTCGCACGGCAAATGGATTGCAACGCAAGGTCGTTTAACAAAGTTTAATCCCATTTGCTCGGCGCGCTGTCACCGGCTGATTGCAACACCGCTTGCATCGGAAAATTCGCATAATTTATAACAGAACGTTCGACTCATTTATTGGCCGGCGCCCGTTGTCATAAATTCATTCAGAGTCAGTCGACTTTAATTCGCTGTGACGAGCTTAACATGCTTTAAATCATGTTTTATCGCTGTGTATGTGAATTTTGGCACGGTTTACAATGTCATCAAACCAGACTAAATTCCACGTTACATATTCATTCGTCCGTAGGCTGCGCAATGGTAATTTCGCGTCAACAACACCGCCCCGCCTGCCGAGTTTGCATTTTTGCCGTTTCCACTGTGTTGTAGATGCAATTTCATTGTACAGTTGTATATAGCGAGTAGCGACCCACCTGAATATGCGACTCTACTGAATTGCATAAACACAAGTCCCCTTTCAGCAGTGCTTTTGAATACCGACAATATACCCATAATAAACTGGGACGACTACGGAGCCACATCATTTTTATCTTGTTGCCACCGGCGATCACATTTTCATCGTACTTACATTGTACATTTTGCGTATGTATCGGGGAAGTATCTCGTCATGTTTTGGTGCTCTCTTTCTTTGTATTGTTAACAAGGTTCTTCATTTGTTTTGCTTCTGAAAATTACGTTTGATCGAAAAATAAATTTTGTAGGCATTGAGTGAGCAGGAAGGGTCGCGTTTGTAGCTACATTTGTTTTCATTACGAGTTATTGAACAGCGGCAGGGGGACCCTTCTCGGCGCGTTCTCTATGGAGCTTTTATTTGAATATGAAAGACTTTCACACGACCAACCAAATAAGAAATATTTTTACAGAAATACAAAAAATTGTGCTCGCCTAATTTTGCTCTGCGGCACGTCTTTGGATATATAATATAGTAACTAACACCTGATATAAACACGACATAATAAGTATGCTGGCAAAATACACCTATTTTATGGTATACTTTTAGGTACACTATCTACAGATTGTTAAAATATTTAAAAAAAACGCTTAAAGATTTCGAAAATGTTAAAATGTTTTGATAAGACATTCAAAACACAACACTGAAAGTCAGTATTTACCTTCCCATTCATGTCAACATATAAAACGCATTAACCGAGTAGAAAATACTTGTCGTAAACCGTCTTACGAAGACTGTGGAGCATCTCTAATTTAATATTGTCCAAACTCGCGACTAGTCACGAACGGAGCTCCCGTTTCGTTACACAAACTGTTCTACACAATCTTATTTAAGCGCTTCATTTAATATCGGTATCCTCACATCGTTTCGGTTCTCCTAATGATATTTATTTTACTGTAGCTTTTATACTGACAAAGAGCCCTCGGCAAATATTTTTGAATGTCTGGAATTTAATACTGTTCAGAAATACAAGACGATACAAATGAGAATGTTTGCTCAGCCCTCCACTCCACCAGATCCAAGTGAATGCTCCTTTAATAACTAACAGTACCAACATAATGTTTCGTGCAGAACAAACAATTTCTATATGAAGTTCTCTTGACTCTGTCTGGGCACGAGTTGGCACAACGACTCCCAACTGCGCTGCCGTCGACTATATTTGCATGATAAATGTACAGCACGTAATATTTCGAATTGAAGTTATTACCATTACAAGTTATTAATCTAACAATAAAGTGGGTTCTGGTATTGGAACAAGATACTTAAAATCAAGACTTTAATTTATTTGTGTAATAGAAAACGGCACGCTATAAACAGGTAAAGTTGCTTTGGAATTAATACTTCTCAATCCCAAGAAATTGCGTTCAGGAAAATGGCTTGGTATTTCCCTAGACCATTATACAGGACAAAAGTTGTGATTATGAACAAACTCGTTTACCCTTCAATATTTATTGCGTATGTATACATAATCTCACACCTGTCTCCCATGGGGGTAGGCAGAGACTATGGAACGCCCATTACTACGATACTTATATACTTCTTTCGCTTCCACAACAGTCTTCCGCTTTAATGATGAATTTGCTAGAACATTTTATTAAAATGAACTACACCTATTGCGTGTACATTATAATAATTGTTCCAGGACCTTCATCATTAAAGCGCTATCGAGATAACTGTACCATATAGGTACGATCTCCTCACTTCTTTCTCGAGAACAATCCTGCAATTTCATAAAAAATGTGAATATTTCGCGTTCTTTTTATGAAGACCAATTAGAGTTAAGTCTTCCAGAAAATCTTGAGCCCCATTACACCATAATGACCGCTTGCAAATGGTCGTCTGAAATCTGCGAGTAAATATGATATTTGAATTGGCTGGTAGGCATTAACGTCGCGTTGTATGCCAGCAGGCGGTAATTTCCGTTATCTGGCTGGCGCGCCGCACCCGCGCACAGGAGGTTCGTTAAAATGCAGCCCGCCCGGATGCGAAACGCCAATGTGCTCTAACACGACACACGAGCTGAAAAAAAAACTCGACTATTCAGCACTTTTTAATTTTAAAACTGCGCTTTTTCGCTCGCATTGTACTTTTTATGCGTTATTATGGTTTCCCTATTCAATGCTTAGGAAGTCTACGCAATAGTCGCTAGTCAGCATATAGAACATGACTTACCTGCGGGCTATTTATAATTTTCCTGTTTATTTTACCGCTTTCGTTAGTAAGTATGTTCTTCAGATGGTTTCGAGTTCATTGTAAGATTACCAAGTAATTATTAATTATAATTAGTTGAACGAATATGAAGAATACAAACATTAGGCTACTAACAGGTTTATCTCACTGAAGCTGGCAAAACATCACCGATCCATCAGTCCGGCCAAACGTGGCAATTCAGCTACATTTCGCAGCGAAGAGGAAAAAACAAAGAGATTAATATATATTAGGGTTATAAATCTAACAGGAACTCGGTTGATATATAAATCTTAGAATAGCGCTATAGAAAAGAGTTTGGTGTCAGCGTTCGGTATTTATTTCACCACGAGCGGGTCGAGACGGTGTCCGCTACGTATTTTTCTTCCCAACTCCAACGGCTAACTTGGGATTTATCATGAATAATTTAAATATCATGTACATCTCGTGGAATATTCTAAGACGAGCATTGTACCGGTCGCTGGGTAGCACCGCTGTCCATTTTTCGATTATATTCTTTAAAATCGTAGAGCTAGCTACACATACTGAATTAATATTTTCACTCAATCGCTACTACTGATCTGGATTATAAATCTCGATAAATCGAGCCATCGTATTCGAAACACGTACGGCGCATTGTGACTATGTGCTTGACGTAAAGCTCGGCGTAGCGTCGTAATATTAAGTTAGAGACGGGAATTCTGACCCTTCGTTTCTTGGAACTTTACCATTTTTACAAGTGAGTCTGTTCTCTATGCTCAATAAAACCAAAACTTTTAATAACGGTAAAACAATCTTAAACGATAAATCAGATGAGTTTTCACAAGGCGCAGTTGATTCACACAGTTTATTGCATAACTCTCGGTAATTTACGTTTTGCAATGTCGATGAAGTGACGACAGCTGCCAGATAACCTCTGCACAATAGCAAGATGGTAGTAGTAGGGTATAATTGGGGGTTCTGCATCACTTGCTCTCGCTGCGCTCGAGCTGCGTGATGCAAAACGCCCCAATTATACCCTAATGATATTCTAATCTGATCGGTTTTCTGGAAATTTGAATGTGAGCTTAATCATTTATTCGTTGCGCTTCCGTATTATGGTTTTCAGGTTGAGTGACTTCTTCCCAGTCTGTGTGATGCAAAAAAAAAAAAACCCCTCCAATTATACCGCTTATACAGATTGTAATGTATGGAAGTCATTTTCTTAAAAACGGTTCAAATAGAAGAAATCTCATCTTCCAAATCAAATTGACTCAATTTAAGCGCAATGTGTCATCGTATACACAATTATATTCTAATAGGGTAGATATATCGTATACACAATTATATTCTAATAGGGTAGATATAATTCGACTCGGCGCACAATGCAATAGTGCATATTCTAATAGAGTAATTGTTTCAGACAGTTATTGATATAATTTATTCCTTTCACAGCATTCAAATAAAAACATTGAGGATAATGTATAGCATGTTGCATCCAAGGATCGTCGTAAATCTCCCAATCTTCTATAACACCTCCACATGAGAAACATGCTGCTTTATCATTTACACCGTTTCCAAAATAAAAAAATCCGGCTTCAGCCATTTCCATCACCAACCTTCTCCTTGAATTAGCCGTTGCCCAATAATGTCTAAACGAAATTTCACGCATTTTATACGTATTATAGATGTCATAACGAGGGCTACATTTATTTTGAGACATGGTCTGTTCACTCACTATATAGTTCTTCATACAGATACAGATAA